GGAGTATGACCAGCTTAACAGGCCAAATGTAAGGTCCTGACATCAGTCATGCCCACAAGGACATTGCCAGCCAGAGGGCCCAATGGTGAACACCATCACCTCCAAGAACAAGGGAGTCCTGATTGTCACAACAAAACCTATTTTGCTCTTTATAATATGAGCTTATATAACTTGATGGACTTAATCAGAGCTCCCAATAAGCTTCTTAGTATCCTACTCTTAGATATAAACAATGAAGCAGGGGTCAACAGACATCTGAGAAAAGACTGTAAATAAATAGAAAAAAAAACAGAAAGAACAAAACACATTTAAAAGAAAGACTGTTGCAAGAAGAAACTAACAACAAAAATCTATCATGAAAAGAAAAAACAGATTGCATCTTCACAACAAGTACAGGGTGCTGATGAAATGGGGGAAAGAAACATTCGGAGAGCAAAGAAAACCCTTAGAAGTAAAAAGCATGGAAACAGAAATGAAAAAAAATCAATGGAAGGTTTAAAAGAAGTCCAGAAAATTTCCCAGAAAGTAGAGGGAAAAGTCAAAGAAATAGAAAATATAGAGAAACTATTAAATGAATGAATTAATGTCAAATAGAAGACATAAATAATAGGAATACCAGAAAGAGAGAACAAAGAAATCAGAAAAGAAGAAATTACCTACAAAATAATAAAAGACAATTAATTGCCCAAAAGTGAAGTACATAGGTTTCCAGATTGAAAGACCCCATTATATTGGAGGAAATAGACCTCACATTAAGGCATGTCATTGTGAAATTTCAAAATGTTAAGGACAATCCTACAACCTTCCAGAAAGAAAAGATAGGTCGTTTACAAAGAACCACAGTCAAAATGGCTTTAGATTAATCATGGGCAATGTAACGGAATATCTTTAAAAAAATTATTTTGATCAGCAATTCTACACGCAACCAAAGTATCAACCAAGTGTCAGGATGGAATAAAGACATTTCAGACATTCAAAATCTCAAAAAACGCCGGGTGCAGTGGCTCACACCTGTAATCCTAGCATTCTGGGAGACCGAGGCGGGAGGATCGCTCAAGGTCAGGAGTTCAAAACCAGCCAGAGCAAGAGTGAGACCCTGTCTCTACTAAAAATAGAAAGAAATTAATTGGCCAACTAAAAATATATAGAAAAAATTAGCCGGGCATGGTGGTGCATGCCTGTAGTCCCAGCTATTTGGGAGGCTGAGGCAGGAGGATTGCCTGAGCCCAGAAGTTTGAGGTTGCTGTGAGCTAGGCTGACGCCAAGGAAATGGAGTGAGACTCTGTCTCAAAAAACAAAAAACAAAAAAAGAACAGGCATCCTGCAGCACATAAAGACATTTTGGTCAATGACAGACAACATATCCACTGGTGATCTCATAAGCTCTTAATACCGTATTTTTACTGTACCTTTCCTGTGTTTAGATACACAAATATTTACCAGTGTGTTACAATTGGCTAAGCATTCATTACAGTCACATGCTGCACAGGTCTGTAGCTGAGAGCAATAGGCTACACAGTCTAGCCCAGGTGTGTAGTAGGCTGTTCCCCCCAGGTTTGTGTAAATGCACTCTATGATGCTCCCACCATGACAAAATTGCCTGACAATGCATTTCTCAGGAAATACAGTCATGAAGCAAGAACTCATGACTGTAAATGAATCCCCTTTTTAGGAGGAGATAGTGTTGCTCATTCAGTACCATGGGAGGCTCTCTGGGGTGATGGGGACCACGGAGAGCCTGTATTCAGATCTTACCTTCACCACTTCCTTGCCCTGTGGACTCTAAGTTATTGAAACTCCCCGAGCCTCAGTTTCCCCATCTGTAAAATGGTAATGCCAACACCTACGTGCCTTTGAAGGATTATAATGTCAAGGATCCAGCACCTGATAAATAGTAAATATTATAAAGTACTAAGAAAACATAGCATTGTATTTATTTTCTACTGCTGCCGTAACAAATTATTACAAACTTAGTGACTTTAAAAACCACGAATGTACTATCTTACAGTTCTGGAGTCTGTAGTCTGAAATCACGGTGTCAGCAGAGCCCTGCAGGTTATGGGGGTGAAATACTTCCTTGCCTTTCCCACCTGGAAGAGGCTGCCAAATTCTGATCTCTGCTTCCATCATTACATTTCTGATTCTCTCACTCCTGCCTCCCTCTCATAAGGACCTTGCTAATACTTTGGTCCCAATCGGATGATCCAGAACAATCTCCCTGTCTCAAGATCCTTAACTCAATCACATCTTCAAAGTCCTCTTTTTCATGTAAGGTCACATGGTCACTGGTCTTAGGGACTAGGGCATGGATATCTCGGGGGGCTGACCATTATGCTGCCTATCACATGGTTTAAGTAGATTTTTAGAAGTAACCAGAAGTTAGATGATTTTACTATTCTCTCCCTTTTAAGTTTTTTTCTTTAAAATTTGAACGGTGAAATTTGTTAATTTGAAGAAATTCCTGTTAATTTTTTAGATGCGATAATGGTTCTGTTTGGACTTTTAAGTCCTTATTTTTTCAGAGACATATTAAAATATTCACAGACAAAATGCTATGATAGCTTGGATTTGCTTCAAACCTGTATTGGGGGAATGGGCGGGATATAGAAGAAACAAAGTTGGCCACAAGTTGATAATGGAGGAAACTCAACAAAGGGGGCATGGGGTTCACTGTGCTTTATCTTTACATGTTTAACATTTTCCATAATAAAAGGATTTTTAAAATTCATCTTTATATTTGCACATTTTATTTCTCTACTAGATTCCTCCACCTCAAGCCTTAATATTACTCCATCTCCACCATTTTATGTCACTTTTATTCCATATTTTGTTTTCCTTTTTTTATTTCAAAATTATTCCAAATTTTATTTCTTCATTTCTTCATCTGAGGATGATAATCACATACTGTGCAATATTTCATTTAAACCTTCACAACAACCCAATGGTGTATTATTATTGTCTAGTGTTATCCCCATTTTGCAGATGAGCTGAGGTCAGACTTGGTGAGATCAAGTTCTGCACCTTAGGGCAGGACATGGTGGAGCTGCAATCCAAATGCCCACTTCGTAAGGTTGGAATGAAGGATTTCATGAGATAACTTGTATAACCCACCTAGCATGCGCCTCATACAAGCAGAAAATCTCCTGTATGTTAGTTCCTGCTGCTATAGAAGAGACAGAGAGAAGATAGAAAATGCATTGCCTCTCATTATAGGAGCCTGACTTTCCCAAGAAGGGAGAACACAGATCCCGCTGGAGCCCCCAAGGCTGTGGAGGGAGACAGCCCCAGGGCTGAAGCATCATTGTCTCTGCAACTATTTGCTTGGTGCTACACCCCTCCCCCCCCTCCCCCACTGCCATTGGTTTCTTTTTAGACAAGTGCGTGGGGCAGGGGTAGGGCGATGGGGAGAAGAGATTTTCAAAGAGAAGAAAGGAGAAATGAAGAGAAAACATATCAGGAACATGAAACTTGCCCAGCTTTCCAAGCTCAGCCGCTCTGCCTCATAGCCCAGCGACACCGACGCCCTGCCTCCCTCCTCGGTTGTCCTGTCTCCAGCCAGGACTGGCTCTCCCATGCGGCCCTGGGCCTCTGTCTTAACCACCTCCTGCTTCTGCCTAAAGGCGTAAGGCCCTACCCAGCGGATGGCTGGGGCCGGTCTCACTGGGCCAGGGAGACCCTCCCACCTGTCAGCCAAGTGGTCTTCACCTGCCGAGCTCCAAGGTAGAAGGAAACATGGCAAACACAGGCCTCAGGGGCATGAGCAGGAGAGTGGTTCCTGCACACGGCCCCTCTCTCCTTTCCCCTCCTGCTCATTCCTGGCCAGTGAGTGGGCCTCCCTTCTCTGAAGCTCGTTTGTTCGTGAGAGTGGGTAACTAGCTAGAAGAAAATATCCAAGGGGGAGGCATACGTAGGAAACGATGCACAGAGAGAAATGCCTCGGGGAAATTACAAACACCCCACACACACACACCTGTGCTCATGCTTGGCAAGCAAACAAGGACTGTTTCTGGAGTCCCCTGCCCAAGGGCATCAGACACTTCTACAGTCTCCAGTAATCATGCAAACCCGGACTGGATCCTGATCTTAAAAGCGGAAACAACAACAAAAGCGAAGCTCTCAGGAGACAAACAACCTGGGTGAAAACACTGTGGCCAGAGACGCAGATCAGTCTGACGAGTCAAGCCGCGCTCCTTCCACCCAGCTGGAGGGTTATCCGGGAGCTCAGTTTCCCCAGTCATGATCCATCAGCTGTCTCAGGAAACCGATGAGATATGCAGAGAGCCCCCTCAGAGAGCCGTGAGTTCTGAATGCCAGCAGAGCTTAATCCTTCTCGAGACCCTCAGCACAAGAGAGCTGGATATAAACTGACAGCCAGCAAAATGTTTAGACGTTCACTGAAAAAGTATTCAGAATTGCTAAGCTCGTGATGTGAGCCCTTACTTTTAAATGAGTGCACATGCAGATGGGATGTCTTGTTAAAAAAAAAAAAAAATGACAACCAGTTCAATTGAGGCTATTTTCAAAACCTAAATTTAAAATTCCATTTGCCCTCAGAATGGATGATTTATAGATAAGAAAAACATTTTTGTGATGACAGCTGCCCTGAGATTTGGGGACAGGGTGGGGAGGAGGTAGGGAAGCCTGGAGGGCTCTACGTACCTAGCCGGGAAGTTTGGGGATACTGAGAGCCACACAATTGCATCTAGGCGAAACAATCACGTTGCTCATTCATTCCCAAGTGCAAAGGGCCGAGATATTGTCTATCGCCCTCAGCTCTGCTCGCACCTGCTTCTGTGTGCTGTCCTGGGTCGCGGGCGCTGGAGGCCGGGGAGGTACCCGTGCCAACGCGTTTCCACGTGCAGTCTGGGCTTCACCACTGAGACACGTTCACAGAGATTTGGAAGGCAGAAGGGAAGTAATAGACATTCCCCATCTGACAGAAACTGGTACACGTCTAGATTTTGAAGGCCAGAGTTCCTGCGTCTTCCTCTGCCACTTACCTCACTCAAGGCGGCCGAGTTCCTGGGAAGTTGGCAGCAGTTTCCTGCAAGTTCCAGACACCAGGGAAGCATCAGCAACTTTCTGACTCCTCAAACCACTGGTGCAGTGCGCCCTAGAGGTGGCTGACTTTTGCTCCTATAGCTCTTCTGCCAATCGTTGCCAGCAACTAATTCCATGGAGCCCCTGGAAAGCCCTGATAGGAAAGTCACAGCATAGTCCCCTGGGTCTTGAAGCACAGCTGGGTCCTGTTCCAGAAATATTAATAACTATTTCCCTATTGAGAAGCGGTCCCTGCCTTGCTACGAAGGCTGGCTGTGGGAGTCCGAGTGACCGTATGATCTGAACCGCCCATTTTGAACTAGATGTTCTCTGATTGTCCAAGTCACAAAGGTGGCTTTATGTGTGCAGCAGCAGGCCACCATCAAGTGAAAGTGACAGATCTAAATGGGGCTCAAGCACATCCTGAAGGCCGAAAGCTGCCCACCCAGGTGGCTCAGATCCCTGTCATTTCTCTTTCTACTCCCTCCGCCCTCACCTACAGCTTCCTGGGGAGTTCTTTATGACATGTTGACCAAGGGGGGAAAAAAAACTCAGGCCAAATTCATGGAGGAGTCTACACAGGGTGCTGCACCAACTAGATGCAGACTGCTATTGTATTATGCAGAGGACAGTGGGAAGGAAAATTGTCCCTACAGGCAGAACTTTAAACAAGACAGTGGGTTGTTCATTTTTTCTGGAAAGAAAAATGTTCAAAGGTAGAGATACATGTTGACTTATAGGAGGTGACTAAAGATCTGGCTGGATGGTGAGGGATTTAGAAGGAACAAGACTGGAAGATTGGCGACTGTGGAGGAATGGGGAAGGGATTTGCAGACAGTCCCCACGGAATGGGGACAGAGCGTGAGGACATCGGCATCCTGTGTGAATGCTCACAGCCGGGGAGGCCTCCAATAATCCAGTAGACAAGATGAGTCTTGAGTGTCAGCAGCCTCTTTCCACAGCCACACCTGATGAGCAAAGTGGCTATGGTGGCAGGGTTGAAATTCACGCATGTCCTCAGCAACATGGATTTCTCTTTGCCAGAACCGACCTGTCCAACCTACCAATAGCACAGACCACTGATGGCCCTGAGAGGACACCGTTCCCCAGAGGCACTAGCTGGCTGCTGTTTGGTAGGGGAACTACACTGGACCCCTTTTGTCCTGGCAGGAGCAGCTGTGTCTATATTCACGGGAATGTTTGCCGGCCCACCTTGCCTCCCTGCAATGCTTCTACCAGCGCCCCCACCCCATCCATGGGCCCACAGAGTGCCACACTCCTTGCTGTGGCGTCTGCATAGCATGGGTGAATTGTAAATGGTCTATATTGACTACACGCCTATCTCTAGAGCAAATGACCCCTGAGGCCAGTACTATGGGATGTGTTAACTAAGGAAAAGTGATGCTCTGCCCTTACGTCTACCCTTACTTAGGTCACTGAGTGACTTTGGAACGAGATGAAGCAGCCTGTCCGCATTATTTAGGAAGGATAATGGGACTGACAGTTTGCATCTGGTTTTGGTAGAGCCTGGGAAGGAGGGTTTCGGTGGTTGAGGCTGGTCACGCAGCTAGAGGGAGCTTACGTGGCCAGCTCAGTGGAAGACGCCCCCACCACGACCAGGCTTTTTGGTACCAACGTGCTTTCCATGCACACCAAGGGTGGTGTAAGACCTGAAGACGATGCATGTCCCGTGTGACCCAGCAATGTGAGGACAAAGAAGTCTGTGCCCGAGGTCTCTGGGCCCCTTTCCGTGCATATCCATTTGCTGCCGCTGCCGTACTGTCCGAGGTCTGAGGACTGAGGGTCCTCAGGACTGGGTCCCTCCAACACTGACCAGGAAGAAGGGGGGACACCAGCAGAGGAGGTGAAGGCGTAATGGCCAGTGAGGTGGGACAACGTATGGTGGCCCCGAAAGACGGTGAGTTAAGTGTTTTGAGGCAGAGGGATGGATCAACCGTGTCAAGTGCTGCTGGGAATGAAGATGCGGACTGAGAACGGATCGTAAGATCTGGCGATACGAAATCACTGGTGACTGTAACAAACGTGCTTCCAATGAGGCAGACTCAAGAGAGAATGGGAAGGATTCAGAGAAGAAAGGGAACTGGGACAATTGTTTTGAGGAATCTTCTGAGGAAATGGCAGGAAATCAGAGGCTGGGAGAGATTATAGTAAGTTGTAATGATGGTGTAAGCCAGGGGTTCTCAAACTTTTTAAACAGGGGGCCAGTTCACTGTCCCTCAGACCGTTGGAGAGTGCGCACTGTGGGCCCGGGACGAGTCGGCTGCTAAGCAGGACAGGCAGCGGCGGCAAAACCACCCGGAGGGCCGGGCTAAGCAATGGAGCAGGAGGGGAAAGGGACAGCACATTGTCACTTGTGCCTTGCAAAGTGAGACAAGGGGGGAGTGGGGTGAAACCCAGGCAGCAGGTGGAGAGGGTGGCGACCAGGAGTATCCACAGTTCACCCATGACAACAGGGGCAAGGCGGGCAGAGGTGGGCACGGGGCTGCAGATGGTCTTATCTGATGCTTCTATTTCCTCAGTGGAAGAGGAAACAGCAGCTAAGAGGGTACGCGTGAGGGAGGAGGTGTTGGAGATTTAAAGAGAGAGGATTGAGTGCGAAACAGTCACCTAAGAGACTGGAAATATAAAAGCCCACTTGATGATGGTTGTCAAGAATTCAAAGTGACACCAGTCAACACAGTTTGGTGGGTTTTTTTTTCCCTTCTCTAAATATGTACAGCCACTTGGGTGAAAATGCAGAGTAGGCAGAGAGCTGGGTTTAACTGGGATGGGGTCGCCATGTGAGTATGTCAGAAAGAGGAGAGCAGGGCCAGGGGGATGAGGGTGCACAGGTGACATCATTTCGGTCGCAGCTCTGGAATCTAAGCCAGGGCAGGAGGGACCTGAGGGATGGTGCAAGGGTGATAGGCATGAGCCACCACACCCAGCCTGATGCCTGTAATCCTGGCATTCTGGGAGGCCAAGGAGGGCGGATTGCTCAAGGTCAGGAGTTCGAAACCAGCCTGAGCAAGAGAGAGCCCCCGTCTCTACTGAAAACAGAAAGAAATTAATTGGCCAACTAAAAATATACAGAAAAAATTAGCCGGGCATGGTGGCGCATGCCTGTAGTCCCAACTACTCGGGAGGCTGAGGCAGCAGAATCGCTTGAGCCCAGGAGTTTGAGGTTGCTGTGAGCTAGGCTGATGCCACAGCACTCTAGCCTGGGCAACAGAGTGAGACTCTGTCTCACAGAAAAAAATAAAAAATAAAAAGAATGGTTGGCATCAAAGACCTGTTCGGGGAATGCAATGAAAAGATGCAAGGTGGTGATCAAAGAGTGGGGTCTTAGAATTGATATTTTTAAGGTGGTAGAAAACTTACGAGTCACGACAAGGCTAAGGTGTGGCGGTCACAGTGGTGGATGAAGGAAGGCTGAGGATGAGAACTCTGCAGGTGATGACTTCAAGGAACTGAGGTGCCAGGGTGCTGGTGGCTCATCCCTGTAAACACTGAAGCCATCCAGAGTGGCGCCCCCTATAGTGGTAGGAAAACAGGAGCCAGTCAGTGAATGAGGGCAGGGACAGGAGAGTGGAGGAGGAGCACCTGTCTCAAAGGAGCTGGGGAACTTTAGGGAGGACGGAGGAGGCAGCAATGAGGAGTGGGGGCACCTGGCTTGCCTCTAGCTCCGGAAGCACGCGGGGACCAGGGCCACTGAAGGGGAGTTCTGGAAGGCAGGGCACTGAGAGTGGGTGAGGTACAATCGTCTTACTCCAGTAACTGACTTGACCAGGATACGCTGCAGGCTACACATGGCACCAGGGAGCAATGGCCACACACACACACACACACACACACACACACACACACACACACACACTCTCTCTCCCCACTCCGGGCCCTCCTGGTGGCAGATCTGTAGCAGAGTTTTTACTCAACAACTTAGCATGGAGCCGGAGGGCCCGGGAACCAGAAGCCCCATGGCCTCACTGCCACCCCGCAGCACCACCACTGCGTGGCCGGCCCAGACAGCATCATTCGCGTCAGTCTGCAGACGGGAGAAATGGGGCTCAGGGAGCGAAGCGGTTCAACCATAAGTAGCAGAGCCAGGTATGGTCCCTATGGACCATAGGGACCAGGCTTCTGACTCCTCCCACCCCTGTGCTCCTTGCACTAATCAGTTTCTCCCCAATTTCCTCAAGATCAGATTTATCTGGATACACTTTTACAATTTACAGATTTCTGGGCTACACACCTGAAGTTATGCATTCAGTAGGTCTGGGGCATGGCCCAGGAAACAACATTTTATTTTATTTTATTTATTTTATTTTATTTTATTTTATTTTATTTTATTTTATTTTATGGTGGCTAGAACATCAATTCATTTATTTGAAAATTGATAAAAGGAAGGATGCAAGCATTTATTGCCTTTTCTATATGAACTGTATTTCAGAATACCTAATAGTTTATGATAGAATTTCTTTTTTTAATTTTTTTTATTTCAGCATATTATGGGGGTACAAATGTTTAGGTTATGTGTGTTGCCTTCCTCCCTCCCTTCCCCCCAGAGTCAGAGCTTCAGGCATGTCCATCCCCCAGATGGTGCACATTGCACTCATTATGTATGTATGTATATACCCATCCCCTCCTTCCCCTCATCTGCCTGATGCCCAATAAATGTTATTCCTATATGTCCACTTAGTTGTTGATTAGTGAAACCAATTTGCTGGTGAGCTCATGTGGTGCCTATTAGGAAACAGCATTTTAACAAATGCATTTTGTCATGACAGAAGTTTGGAATGCTGCAGGCCACCACACTGTCTTCTCTATTGATTTATGCAGCTGAGAAAGTTCCCTCAATTTCTCTGCCTTTGGACTGGGCAGCATGACAATGACCCAATGTCTCATGCTAGTTGCCTAACATCTCTTCAATGCAACTTCTTAATTAAAAAGCTGGAGACCCAATTTTCTAGCTAATGAATGGAATAGAAAATTAATACCAACACAATACCAGGGTTTGGAGGGGGTTATGTGTGAGAGCCATGGGTTTCGGGGAGATACCTTCCCATCTTCATCACTTTGGTAATCCCTCCAAACGTCAGTTATCCCACCTGTGATATGGTTATAAATCATTCCTACCTAATAAGGCTTACCAAAGTCTGGGAACATTGTATGCAAAGGTCTTTGTGTAATATTTATAAAATTAGAGTTGATGTGGTAGCTGCTGGTCACAGAAGTAATAATAACGGGGATTGCTGTTGTTGAGATTTCCTAAGCCAGCTTTGATCATTCTGTGACACCAGACAAGGAGATCTGGCCCCAGAATGAATGCTCATTGTAATGCCCAGTATCAGTGGGCTTGAGTGCACCGAGCCAGGAGTTGATGTTGGGAAACCCTAGAGAGCCTGTTCCAATCGATACACTAACATTTGCTTTGTCCTCACGCCTCATGCCCGTGTTGACACAGTGGCCATTAGGGGCCGATGAGCTGCAGCAGAAGCAATGGGCTGGAAGCAGGCGGCAGCACGCTGGGTTTGGCACTTGAGGAGACAGCGTTTTAATCAATTGCGGGTTGTCATTAATTCTGGGTTGAGGTCAGGTGCATTAGCGCTCTCGAACCCACCCTCGGAAACAGCTGGGGTTCCCAGCTCAGTAAGAAAGTTGCTTTCAAGGTCTCCAAAGTGTCTCATTGATCTCAACAGAAAGTGCTGCTTTCTGTGCTCACAGGAATTTTACTGTCTGATTCTCGCTGTGTGGTGGGGAAATATCAAATACCCATTTCTCTGGAGAGGAGGGAAAACCACACAAAACCTTTTGGTTAAGGTGATCCGTCATTCCTGAACATGAGCAAAATTTCTGCCCCTGAAATTCTAACTTGCAGCCATTTCTTGTCCTTCCTGAAAGTGACCAAGACACAAACAAAAAGAAGGGCTGATTTGCTTAAGCTCTGCCTGCCTTTTTTTTTTAATTTTGTTTTTTTATTTCAGTGTATTATGGGGGTTCAAATTTTAAGGTTTCAAATAATGCCCTTGCCCCCCTTACCCCACAAGTCTGAGCTTCAAGTGTGACCATCCCCCATACGGTGCACATCTCACTCATTATGTATGTATATACCCATCCCCTCCTCTCCCCTCGCACCTGCCCAATACCCAATTAATGTAATTCCTATGTGTCCACTTAGGTACTGATCAGTTAATACCAATTTGCTGGTCTTTTTTTTTTTTTGAGACAAAGTCTCACTCTGCTGCCCGGGCTAGAGTGCCATGGAATCAGCCTAGCTCACAGCAACCTCAAACTCCTGGGCTCAAGCAATCCTCCTGCCTCAGCCTCCTGAGTAGCTGGGATTACAGGCATGCGCCACCATGCCCGGCTAATTTTTCCTATATTTTTAGTTGTCTAATTAATTTGTTTCTATTTTTAGTAGAGATGGGGTCTTGCTCTCTGCCTGCCTTTAAGGTGGCCCCTGTGCACCTAACTTGTTTCATTTTTTTTCTAGATTGAAAACAATAAAGGAGTATACACATTCTAGCTTGTCCATATAATGGGATTCTGTGTGGTCATGAAAAAAGGTGCTGGGATCCCTGGCATAGACCTGGAAACATTAGATCACAAAATATTGAGTGAAGAAAGCAAGGTAGAAAATTATATATTTAGTAGTGGTCCATGTTTGTAAGGAGAAAACAATGCACAAACACACATACACACACACACAATAACGTAGGGAAGGATACACAGCACGATTGAACACTAGCCATCCCTAAGTCAGGGTTCTCTCAACTTTAGCTCCGTGGCAATGATGCAAACTTCCATTCCCAGTGGGGACATGATGGATGCTTGAAATTTCCTTCTCTGTGACTATCTATACTCTCCAAGTTTTCTTCATTAAATACAAGTTGTTTGTGTAATTTTTAAACATAAAAAATTTTAAAAGGGGCGGCCCCAAACAGGCACTACAGCATTCTTTATAAGGTTTTAAAAATGGCAACAGCTAAAAAATCTAACAGTAGGGGAAAGTGAAATAAGATATGGTACATTTATACAATGAAATATTAACTGGCACTAGAATTGCGTTTTGAACAATCTATAACACCATGTTGAAGCAGATGCTGCAAACAGGATCTCTCGATACCACCCCAGTTCTTTCCTTCCTGTACAAGAGCTGAAAGGTTAAGGGCTATGTTTTCCAAACCCCATATGGTGTGTGCCCCACAGGTGACCTGACCTGATGAGCAGACACCACTGCTGCCAGGTCTCGGGCAGGTGTCTCCAGGAAGCCCAGACTCACCCCTGCTGTTCCATCCCATGCAAGGAATCCGTAAGCCACTGAACTCCTGAAATATACCCCTTTCTGCTTAAAATCAGAAGACACACAGGGGAAATATTTAGTGCCCTGTTTGCCTTCTTTCTAAAAAGTCAGCCACAGAACTATCTGCAGTATTATCACAGCATTGTTGGAAAAAAATAAAAATAAAAAACCTATCCAGAGAAAAGACCAGAAGGAAATGCAACCAAAATAAAACAGTCATTTTTTTTGGGGGGGGGGGTACTGAGACTATAGCAAGACTCTGCTCCTTTTTAACATATCTGTATTTTTCAGAATATCTCTGGTGTATGGGTTATTTAACTTTCTATGAGAAAAGAGCAACTATCTCTTGATTTTCCCCGTAGAAGTGCAAAGAGGAGTCTGTGATCACCTCACGTCCCCCGAGTGTCCCAGCATGGAAACACGCTGGCCCTGGAGGCCCTGCTTGGACCCACCTCACTTCCTCTCTTCTTCCACTCTTTGCTTCCACAGTATCCTTCCTTCCTCTCCCTATTTAATATTGATGTTCATGGACATGTGTTATTTTCCGGAGAGTTTCCTCCCTTCAAATCCTCCATCTGAGATGAAATAAAAACGAATCATAACAATGGTAAATAATAGCGATCACAGTAACAATCGTAATAGAATGATGCAAGCGGAGACCTTTGGCCCAGGTTGAGTAACTAACTTGGTTTATTCTGCGTCCCTCATCGCATGAAGCAAACTTTTGTCCTTTTCCGTCTGGAGCTGCCGAGCAGTGACATAATCAACAGGATTGAGTGAAGCGGCAAACAGAAAAGCGTCTTCATTCACAAGACGCACCTGGTGAGTGTGAGGGGGACCTCTCAGGTGGCTACAGCTTGCAACCGTCTAGCCAGCGCGCCAGGGTGTCGGAGTACTGGCAGAACCGGGACCAGGTGGGCCTGTGGAGAGGAAGGCGGGGAGAGTGAACGGGAGGGGCTCCTTAAAGCCAGAACTAGGGGCACGGCTCTGAAGGCTTTCCTGCAGCTCCAGGGCCATGTCCCCACACCCTGGAATGAATGCCGGCGCTTCCCCCACCCTGGTGCCCACAGCACCGCCGCGCCCTTCCATACACCCTGCACGGTGAGACGGGGAGGCTGAGCTGTGAACTGTGAAATTCTCCCCCAGAGCTGCAAGGGAATCATGATTAGCTTATCCAGGGCGAGCTTCAGAGATGTTCTGTGACTTGCTCAAGGTCACACGGTGAGTCCGCAGACCTGAGGGCTAAGATCGGAACCCTGATGCCCCTGGGCCAGGGCCACCTTCACCTTTCCATGTGCCCGCTTCACTCCTCACCTTCCAGAACTCCTTCCAACTCCTCCCTCGACCCGGCCTGGGTCAGCAGGACTGGATTTCTCTAACCTTTTCTCCTGGTGCCCCTAAAAGTGGTTCCCCCATTCCCAGTCCCTGTGCCAGCACCCACTCCTTAGGTTCTCCCCTGGCTACCAACAGGCTGGTGGAGGCACCAGCAGCTGTAGCCACCAGAAATCTTGTCTAGTCGCCCCACTGCTCAGCTGGGCAGGCCTCCATGGGTCCTCCGGGGTAGGGGGTCGTGTAGTGGAAACTGGCCCCTTGTAGCCATAGAGCAGCAGGGGAAATACATATTAAAATAATTTCAGAAATCCCAAGGCTCTGTGTGGCCCCAGGGCAGACATTGCAGAAGGGACTCCTGGTGGCTTCCAAGGTCTTGGTCTTCTCCTTCCTGCGTGTCCCAAGCCTGCAGAGCTGCCCCATCTGAGCTGTGGGGAAGATGTCGCTGCCCATTAGCTTAATAAGAGCTCACTGCACTGGGACCCTGGGCGGGTGAGAAGGCCCTGGTCAGCCTGGCTTCACGTGTCTCTACTTAGAGCCATACAGCAAGGCTGACGGTAGCTCATTAGTGCTTACCCTAGAGGGTCAAACAAGCTTCCAAATTAATTGGGAAGTCAAGACCATGTATGAAAGGTCTTTCCAACACTCTGAAAACAGTTAACGTTAATAAAGGACTTTTATTTTAAAATGTGATCTGTTAAATTAGTGGTGAAAATAGGTTAATGACCAAGTGGTGCTGAGACCAATGACAAACCATTAGAAAAATATAAAGCTGGATCCCTAGCCCACTTTTTTTTATATGAAAATAAATTCCAAGAGGGCCCAAGTTTTAATCATAAAAACCTGAAATCATAAAAATTTTGTTTTTTAAATTTATTTATCAAAAATTTAACATAGGGCTTATTTCGTGTCAACACTGTGCTAATACAGAGGAAAACATGGCTCAGTTGCTTTACAATCTTTGAGTATGAAAAACCTTCCTAGGAGGGAGATTTCATATAAACCCAGAAGCAATAAAAGAAAAGACCAAGGAATCTGATTCTGTGCAACCGTAAAACTCTTGCAGGATGAAAATACTATTTTAAAAAAAAAGTCAAAATACAAATAAGAAACCTGAAAAAAATAGTTCACACAGATAGGATGAACAAAGTTCTAATAAACCTAGTTTACAAAGGACACATAAAAAAATCAATGAGAAGAAAAAAACATTATCAATTCAATAGAAAAATGGGCTAAGGATAAGTAAGCAGTTTCTAGAAAAATGGCCAATAATCACATGAAAAGATGCTCAACTTCTTTTGTAATTTAAAAATGCAAAGTAAAACAGAATGGCATCATTTTGTATCTCTCAATTTCCCAAAACTGCATACATTTTTAAAACCCGCCAGGCTGGTGAGTTGAGGGGACATGGGCCCCTTCATGCAGTGTGGCTAGAGGTGCCCCTTCTCCCAATGACAATTTAGCAACTACCCTAAATGTACTGACTAGTCCCAACAAATCGCCTTCAAAGGATTTCCCTAAGGATACGCTTGAAGGAACATAAAAGTTCCAAAAGCAAGAAACTTACAATAGAATTTCAAAACAGCAGCAGCAGCAGCAGCAAAAATGGAAACAACCTAAATGTTCATCAGTAGGGGACTGGTAGATAAATTACCTGCAGCATCTATACAGTGGGGTACACTAAACAGCTGTTACAGAGATTGCAGAGACCTTAAAGGTGACTTCTCAGTAGCCAAGATGCATGAGCTCTATTAATCAGAAAAAAAGTGACGTGCGGGTCGGTGTTTATACTGGGATTCCATATGTGTTTAAAAATATTTGTAAAATATGTTTTTCTCTGATTTATAAGATATATTAACAGTGTTAACCTTCTGGAGGCTGCTAAGAGGAAAAAGTTTACCTTTCATTTTAAAAATAATAAATTAAAAAAAATTAAAATGTTATGAATGGTTCTGGGTTATGGCCCCAAATGCAGCCTTACCTTTTCAACAAACATTTAAGGGGCAACCAGTATGTGCCAGGCACAGAGCCAGATGATGGAGATACAAAGGCAAGAACAACTTAGTTCCAAAATACCTTAGAGGGGAAATAAAAAAAGCAACAACGAAAAGGCCTGATGTCTGAGAAAGACATACCTCCTGTGCCAGTTTCTGGACAGGTTCTCCACTGCCTACACGGCTCATGGGTTATGGTTGGGAACACCATGTAGGTTTTCCCCCTTGAAATGAGTCCACTTGCAGGTCCCTCCCTCCCACTGTCCGACACTGCTCGGAAACCCTGAGTCTGGACCCACCGGAGTTCTGAACAGCTGCCCTTTGGTTGCTTTCTGTACAAACCAGATCACAGATCTTCTGTGACAACCATCCTCATCTCTTTGAGCAGCCTGGTGGTAGCTGGGGCTTAGAATAGCACAGACCCAGGATTGATCCTACTGCTGTGGCCATAGGTAAGTTCTTCTCTGTGCCTCAGTTTCCTCACTTTAAAAAATGAAGATAAGAATACTGAATACAGAGGGATTTGTGAGGATTAAGTGATGCTGTGTATGTAAACATACAAAATCTATACACTAAAGCAGTCAAGAGATTGTAGCTATCATTAAAGGATTTTCTCTACTGTAAGATATCTTCTATTTTAAGATTCATCAATGATTTAATAATAATGTTTGGGGAGGATACATTGATTGCAAAGTAAAAACTAATTTCAGAAATACTAAGATATGAAAAATGGTACCATCAGAACTAAGGAATTATGACACTGTTTGTAGATCTAACTGGACACTATGATGCCCAGAATCACCTAGGCAGGCAGTCATGAGATGTGGGATATGGGGGAAAAAGGCATGGAAAGGTGGACATTTGTGGTGGTAAGTGTCCCCTGGGTAGTGCAGGGATGCCATGATTAATGACATAGAGGTGGTAGCAGTACATGCTGAAAATGGAGGGTTTTCATGCACTCTATTGGTTCAGTCTATCAGAAAGAGCCAGACACTCACACCAGCAAAATCTCCAAACTGGAAATTGGGCCAAGAGATGTGCCCACCAATCCACCCCCAGATGGACATCTGAAAGAAGGGTTTGGCCATCACACAAGTAACAGTCAGCAGAGATAAGAAAAGGCCTATTGCAATCTGCCTATTGGAAAATACTGAATATGGGTAAATCTGTCCTTATTCAAGGAATGGTAAAAAGAATAAAACTAACATGGCACCTATGAGGAAATATTACAAGAAGAAGAGGGGGCATCATAATACAATTTAGAGGAACAGTCTTCTGAAAATAATATACTACAGGATGCAGAAGTGAGTTTCATAAAATTCATATCCTCAATAAGATGTAACTAGACATGACCTCTGGATAAAGCCATGGGAGAGAAGAGAGGTTTAAAAAGACAACAGTTTGAATTTTAAAAGGAAGTTGAATAAGCAAACATAGAATTGCAAAAACAGACAAAAAACACTAAAAACATAATAACCAAAATTAAACACTGAATTCATGATTTAAAAACCTTTAACAAACTAGAAATGTTAAGAAACATTCTTAATCTGATTAAGAGTATCTCAGAAAACTTGAAGAAAACATCACATGTAATGATAAAATATTGAACTTCATACCTGTGCAATTAGGAATGAGACAAGGATGCCACTGTCATCACTTCTATTAAACATTTACTGGCAATCCTGGCCAATGCAATAAGGCAAGAAAAAAGATATTGTAGAGCCAAATATGAAAGGTAAACCCATAAAACTTTTAGAAAAAAAGGACAATATCCTCATGACCAAGGACTAGGCAAATATTTATTAAAGATAACCATAAATGACAAGTAGTAATAAATTAGACTATATTAAGACTAACACCTTCTGTTTATCAAGACACCATTAAAAAGATGAAGAGGTAACCCACAGAATAAATGATATTTGCAATACATGTAGACAACAAAAAACATTTATCCAGAATATATAAATGTCTCTTACAAATTAATAAGAAAAAGACAGCAGAATAGAAAATTTGACAAAAGATTTGGACAGGCATTTCACATAAAAAGATATCTAAATGGCCAATGAACATTTGAAAAGGTGCTCAACCTCATTAGTCATCAGGGACATGCAAAGTAAAACCACAATGCAATACCCAACACAGTCATGAGCATAAACTAGAAAATACCAAGCATTGCTGAGAGTGGGAAGCAACTAAAACCCATAACTGCTGACAACAGTATAAACTGTGAAAAAAAAATTTTAGAAAATCTGCAAATATGTATATTCTATGGCCAGCAATTTCATTCCTCAGTATAATCAATGGAAAGCCATTTATATATTCACCAAAAGTATAAAATGTTCATGGCAGCACTAAAAAAGTAGAAACTACTTGAATGCCCACCAGTGAAAGAATGGATAAATAAGTGTGGTGTGTTCATACAATAGAATACTACACAGCAATGAAAGTGAATGAATTACAACTACACACAATAACATGAACAAATATAATGTTGAGTGAAAGAAGTCAGATACAGGCCAACTTGTAAATTTTCAAAGGCTTTTCTAAACAAATATCTGACTAAAGAGGAAATCAGAGTTGCAGTTATTTTGTATAGAAATTATATAATAATCAGTTAATATAGCTGATATATAAAGAGCTCTTTCAAATCAATATGATGACTTGAATTAAAAAATAGGCAAAGGACAGGGACAGGAAAAAAATCATGAGAGAATATCAATATATAACAAAAATTGGGAAAAATACCCGAATGGGATAGTATAAAGGCAAAAGAAGACAAAATTATTATTCACTTTTCAAATGGCAAAGGTTTTGTGACTGAAGAAGTTATAGCAAATAGGCATTTTATTAAACATCTTATAGAAATAGAAATTGGGCCTGACATCATCATGGCTTGTGCCTGTAATCCTAGTACTATGGGAGGCCAAGGCAGGAGGATTGCTTGAGGTTAAGAGTTTGAGACCAGCCTGAGCAAGAGCAAGATCCCATCTTTACACAAAATAGAAAAATCAGTCAGGTGTGGTGACATGTGCCTGTAGTCCTAGGAAGTTGGGAGGCTGACACAGGAGGATCGCTTAAGCCCAGGAGGTTGAGATTGCAGTGAACTATGATGATGCCTCTGGACTCTAGCCAGGACAACACGGTGAGATGCTGTCTCGAAAAAAAAAAAAAGAAAAGAAAAAAAGGAAAGGAAAGGAAAGAGGAAAGGAAAGAAGAAAAGAAAAAAGGAAAGGAAAAAGGAAAGGAAAGGAAAAGAAAAGAAATAGAAAATTGGTACAAGCTTGTTGGAGAGTCATTTTACCACATGCATCAATAACCTTAAAAGTATTCAAAAACCTTGTAAGAATTTATATGAAAGAAACAATCAGAAATTATTACAAAAAATACAGATGTTATTATAATAAACACAGAAATTTGTTTTAAGAAAGTTTATTCCGGCATTCTATATAACTCTAAACAAGATTCAAAATTTTAAAAGTACAACTGAAGACAGTTTGTCTGATAATGATTTCCATCCTTCCGTGGCCCTGGGATCGTGGAACTCAACAGCGTTCTGCTTACTTACCTTTGGTGAGTAGGAGCCCATGAGTTCGGGACTGCGGCTGTGCAGCAGCCAAGATTTGGCCAAGGTCAAGAGTAAAGACAATGGGAGAAGGTCCCTGATACAGGCCGTATAAAAATGTACCACTTACCATGATCCCATCCCATCTTTCCCTTTTACAATTATCTTGACACATTCAATTGTCTTCTGCAAATTCTGGTTCAGTAAAGCTGCGGAGAAAATAAAGTGGAGTATACCATCCCCCATGTCACAGCGAAGCTAGAGTGATGTCAGGGAAGGTACAGGGTGCTCCCATAAGACAGGCTTTGTGTAACTGCAAGAAGAAATCTATCCCTAGATTCTTCTCAGACAACCCTAGGAGGTAGCAGATGTAGTCATCTTTTTCCAAACTCATTGATTTTTTTTTCTTGTAATTCTCATAATAATTTTCCCATTATATGTGTATATTTGACTGTTCTGTTCTAAGCAATATAAGAAGCAGTGGAGATACAAAGGCAAACACGATAAACCCAAAATCGGTCCCTGTCATCACAAAGCCTGCAGTCTGGAAGGGGGTAGGGGCACAGGCAATTATATGGAATAATACAGTGGATACCTAAGATGATGGGAGGATGCAGCTTGAGGAGGGAGCATCTTGGTAGGGGCGCCTGATTCAGACTTGAATGGTCAGGGAATGGCTACTGGGCAAAGAGACATCGAAAGGAGGAGGTAAAGGAGATTGAGGGAGTCGCAGGAGGAAAAGTGTCCAGGCACAGGGAACAGCACAGCACGTGGGAAGGCCCAGCGGTGCCTCTGAGCAGCCAACAAGTCTGTGCTCTCCTCCTTCCAGTCCCTCCTCAGAATGTGGAAAACAAGACCTCCCACTTATGCTACCCTCCTTCTTACCTACACTAGCCTCTCCTTTCTCTAACCTAGTCTGATTGCTTTTCCTTAAAACGCCACCACAGTGCTCCCTGGTTGCCTGTGAAACAGAACCCCAGATCCTTGGCTTAGTCCAGTGGTGCCCAACGTGCTTTTCCCCTTCTATAAACCTACTTCCCATCGCTTCCCGCTCCGACCCCACCGGACGCACGTCACAGGCAGGAGACCAAGACGGTGCCCGCCCTGAAGGTGGGTGCCCTGCCCACGACACCCACAGCTCAGGGATGGCAGGCAGTTCCTCTGCAGGACTTTGTTCATGCTCCTCTCCCAGCCTGGATCCGCTCATCCAAGCAGCACAGTCCTTAAAAGCCTGCCACTGACCACCTAGCCCGCCGTCTCCCCTCTCCCAAATAAAATGCCACTTGGATTCAGTACTTATCTGTTACATACATACACACATCCCGATCCCCATCTACCTTGTAAATTCTTCAAACAGAGGGAAGTTGTGTTCCTCGAGCACCAGGCAGTATCCCAGACGCTGCGCTCGACACTTGGCATACACTTGACACACACCGAAAACTCATAAAAGCCTTATGAGTTAGATATAGTTATCATCTCCGTTTTACAGATAGGAAAACTGAGGCTCAAAGCCCATAGCTTATAAGAAGTGGTGCCAAGATTCCGTGTGGCTCCAAAGCCCGTGCTATTTCTGTTCCTCCCTTTGCCTGCCGGGAGAAGGATGCGATTCCTCTGAGCTGCCCGCGGTACTTAGCTCAGGGGCTGGCACCTCCACATGGTGACTTGCTTCCTTGTGAATCCCATCAGCCTGTGGTTGCGAATTCCCAGGGAAGGCTGCTTTCTCTCGCTACTTGGAATGTCTTCGCTTTGGTGATTTTCTAGCTCACCCCTGGCCCCTGACCGTGCAGCCCCTGTTGCACCTCCCCACCTGGCTCAGGGCCTGCTGACACCGGGGCCATTACACCTGTGCACTGGCTGCAGAGAATCCCTGACGCCCCCTGATCAGCATCTGCCCCAGTCCTCACCCACACGTCTGCATTCTCGCGCCCCTTTCACCCGCTAGGGAGTTCCCTTCCTCTCTTGCCAACTCCGCCAGGTACTTTAAAAGATGTGGGTGTTTTTTCTTTTCTGTTTTACATTCCACCTAATGGGAGAGTTTTTCAGGATATCTAGCCCACCATATTTTCATCATGACACCCAGTACTAACTCTTTTACAGATAGATAATTGTAAGTGTCTCCCATTGGATTCTGAAGACGCGTGTGTGTGCGCGCGTATTCATATGAAATATAAATTATGAGCCTGCTGTGTTTCTCTTTTCTCTTTTTGCCTTGGCTACCAGAAAGCTCAGGGTGACACTAAATATGTCATTTGATTTAAATTCAAATTAAATTAATAAATTTAATTGATTTAAAATGTGATTGAATTATACTATTAATGTATCTATCTCCCCAACTAGACTATGATTGTTGTAATTCACTATGGGCCCTGCATGGCATTTTACACACATTATCCCATTTAATGCTCAGAGCAACCCTAAGAGTTAGTTAATATTGTCCTTACTTCACAGATAGGGAAGCTCCAGGAAGTGACTTGCACAAGTTCACGTAGCTCTTAATGGGGAGCAGCTGGGATTCTCGCCAGGTTCCTGCCAGGTTCCTGTGCCTTTTCCTCCTACTTTCCAGTCCTGCCTCTCCTTGAATCCAGGACCTTTCTTACTCCTCTCTGGACTCCCAAGGCCAATCATGGAACCCAACCCAAGGCAGGTAGACCCCAGGCCACATGAGAAGGCTGCAAGCCTTTGCCCCACCCTCTCCACTCTGTCTCCTAAAGACCCAGCTCAGAAGCCACAGGCTCTAGAATGGTTCTCACCTGCCAAGGTGGAGGGAGGATTGCTCGTTAGGAAGGCCTTGAGGATGCCGGGGTGCTCGGGCCCTCCTTCTGTAGAAAGACAGTCTCTGGTATCAGGGAGACTTGACCTGGCTGTGCAGCCTCCTGGTTTAGCCCAACCTGGGAGCCACACTGATTGGGTTTGCCTCTGAGCTCTACCACTCACCAGCTGTGTGGCCTTGGGCATGTACTTACTCTCTCAGGGCCTCAGTTTCCCCATTTAGAAAATGAGGATAATAATAGTGCCCACCTCATGAGGGTCATTGTGAACATTAGATGAGCCAATACCTATGAAGGGCTTAGAAGAGTACCTGGCAGGTAACAAGCACTAGATCAACAACTCCATAAGGCCTGGCACTTAGTGGGCGCTCAATAAATGCTCATGGAATGAGCGAATCCCGGACAACTGCCTCCTCCTGACCACAGGTCCTTGGGACCCCTAAGAGCAGTAGGCAAGCTCTGCCCAGGATGACCAGCCCCTATCTCCTCCTGGTGACCACTCTGCCTTTCCCAGTGGCAGCATCTGCCCCCTTGCAGAGAGGAGTGGTGGCTAAGCATGGGTGAAATCAGGCCCACCCTTGAGGCTGAGACAGATCTGATGGCTGCAGCCTCCTCTCAACGCCCCGGCACCTTCTCTGCCCATCTGGATGTGGGTCTCCATCACTCGCATACCTGACTCGCCACAGCGAGCCAGCCGGACACAGCGTGGCCCCTGCTCCTGCCAGGCCCTCCTCCTGCCTCTTCCAAACTCGTCAACTCTGGCCATTGGGAAGGCAGACCTGTGAGCACAGTGCCACAGCCTCCAGTGCCCTGGCATAGGATGGAAGGAGGGGACATACCGGAACATTCCGTATGGCAGCGGCTCTTGCCATGGCCACACCAGTCATTGCTTCGGATCTGAAAGAGGCCGTAGCCAGTGTAGCCTCCAGGTGCGTTGTCGTACACGGCTGTGGGGTTGAACTTGCTCTCAAAATAAGCCAGGCACACCCCTAAGAAGGAACAGGAGGTGCGTGGCTCTGAGGAGAGCTGGAGGTGGGGGTGCCTGGGCCAGAGGTGGAGGGCAAGGAGGCCAGTGGGGGCATGCTGAGAGGGCCTACTCACAGTTTTCAAGGCTGTAGCCCTCATAATAAGTCAGGCCTCCTTGGTGGAGCTTCTTAGCCACTGTGCAACGCCCTATGATGCGAGCACTGCTTGGAAACACCAGGCAGCCAATGAGGGAGAGAACCACAGACGCCTTCATCTTCTCCAGGTGCTGGGCAGCACAGGGCAACGGCGGCCAGGTGAGTGGGCGGGGTCACAGATGATTCCCACCAAGACCACGGGGACACTGGTCCTCTGAAGGAAGAGAAGGGCACTGTGGGGGAGGGGTGTGCCATAGAGCATGTTCAGGAAAATGGGGTTCTCACCTGGCATAACCATGACACTTCTCCCCAGCCTAACTCTCTGCTCCACGTCACTGCAAACCTGGGCTACCTGAGGCCCTGCCTCTTCCCCTGTTTTCGAGGGAAATTGCACTTTTGAATTCCCCCTCTCCCCCACCATCACCACTTCTCTCTCTCCAGCAAAATCAATTGGCTTCTTGTTGGTTTGGATCTCACTCATTTCACATTGACGCCATCGTAAGTTAGGACATCTCTTCTTCCTGGCATTCCCATGGCCCCTAACACGCCATCAGCATATATCAGCTGGACAATCAATTGCACCATCCTGTCTGTCACCATTCACAAGTGTACGCATGTCCTCTGGGCTACAGTCACCTACACCAGGGGTTCTCCACCTTGGCACTTGGGCTGGAGAATTCTTTGCTCTGGGGACTGTCCAGTGCATTGGAATTGTTTAGGAACATACCTGGTCTCTAGATGCCAGTAGCTCTGCCTCCACCGTGTGACAAACAAAAACATCCCATATGCGACAAAATTGCCCCTCTGCTAAGAACCAATGACCTAGACAAAATGTCTAGCTGGAGCAAAGGTTGGAAATAAGTATAGTTGCAGACATGACCATCATGCCAAATGCAATATCTAGCATGGCCTAGTGTTTAAGAGCTCAGACTTGAGAACCAGATTGTCTGGATCCAAATCCCAGCTTTATCTTACCATTGCCAAGATATTAGTGATCCCAGCAGAGATCTTGCACAAGTTATTCAATCTCTCTGTGCCTCAGTTTCCTCATCTCTAACAGAGATTCAAATAGTACTAATTGTGTCGACTTGAAGAGTAAATAAGTTAAACGTGCAAAGCACTAGGTCTCCTGTGGGCACTTGCTTTTCTGAGCTCTGGTTGCACTCCCTTGGCTTAAGAACTAAATTTCAGTGCATGTGGGGAAAGTCCACGCTTTCATTTCAACAGATCAGGCAATAGTTTCAGGCCCTGTCTCAACTCATACAAGGGAGGCTGAGTCCTCTCACCGTCCCTCCTCTCCAGCAGCCGGTTCAGCGGGGAGTGATGTCTGCTGCTCTTCCCAACCCTACCCACCTTCCTCCATCTCTTCCACCATCATCCTAGTCCAGACCACCACCATTTCTGACCACGGTAGAAGTTTCCTAACTATACTCCCCTTTGACATACTCCCCTAAATCCAGTCTCCACACAGCAGCTAGAAGGGCCTTTTCAAAAGCTTGTATCTAGTACATCATTCACCTGCAATGGATTCCCCTTGCATGATAAATAAGATCCCAACTCCTCAACCTGGCTGACAAGACCCTCCTGCCACGGCCGCTGAGCACCTCTCCGGGATGATTCCACACCACTCTCTCCTCCTTTGCTCACTTTCACCCTGCTGCAGCCACCTTGCATATTTCTTTTTCTTGAACATACCACAGGCCCTTTGCACCGGCCATTCCTTCTGCCCGGAGCACGACAGCCCCGACCACCGCATAGTTTGCACCCTCTTGTCATGCTCTCAGCTCAGACGAGCTCACTACCTCAAAGAAGATTCCTTGATCACTGCCCCATCGCAGAAGATTATTTTTATTTTCTTCTCAATATAAGTCAATCAATATCAGCAATTCCCTTGTTCATTTATTTGTCCACTTGCTGATTTTCTGTCTCCCCTACCAGAGTGTAACCACGAGGGATGCGGAAACCTGGTCTGTTTTGTTCTCTGCTTTATCCCCAGAACTTAGAACAAATCTGGTGCATAGTAGGTGCTTAAGGGACCTTTGTTCAATGAACAAATGAACAAACACTACTCTTCCCGGCAGAACTGCCATCCGAGGAGCACTGAGTGAAATTTCTGATAAGCATCTCCTACAGTTGGGTATGGTCCCGCCCACCCTGGCCCCTGCCCACCACATACCCCCTTGACAGTCTGCCGGTCCCCTGCAGGCCCTCAATGCCTTCCGAGGGAAGCAGGAGAGCAGCCACTGTCGCAGCCTTGACGTCTGTTGCAGGCAAGTTGTTCTACCTACGCTTGCTTCCCTGGAGTTTTCAGATGCCACTTCCTCAATAATTTGTTTGCCTTCACCCAAGGGTCCCTCTGCATGACTTGCTCTTCTAGAACCTTTTCTATGACATCAGTTGCTATGCACCAGAATATTCAGAAAGAGGAAGGGGTCTGTCACCATCACATTTGTATTAGTTTTCTGTTGCTACTGAAACAAATTACCACCAATTTAGTGGCTTAAACAGCACAATTTATTATCTTAAAGTTCTATAGCTCAGATGTCAGCCCAGACACAGTGGCTCATGCCTGTAATGCCAGCACTCCGGGAGGCTGAGACAGGAGGATTGCTTGAGTCCAGGAGTTTGAGGCTGCAGTGAGGTATGATCGTACCAGTGCACTTCAGCCTGGGTGACAGAGTGAGATTTCATCTCAAAAGAAAAAAAAAAAAGTCAGACTTAAGGTCCCACAGGGCTAAAATCAAGGTGCCAGCAGGGCCTGTCTGGAGGCTGTAGAAAAAGATTCACTGCCTTGCTCACTTGGGTTGCTGGCAGAACAAAGTTCCTCACAGTTGTAGGGCTGAATTCCCCGTCTCCTTGCTGGGTGGCAGCTGAGGGGCTGTTCCCAGCTGCTAAGGGCTGTCTGCGTTGCTCAGCTCTGTCACCCTTCCTCTGCCTTCAAAGCCAGCAAGGGTGGTTCAAACTCTTTCACATGTGGAATTTCTCCTGCCTCTTCTTCTGTCTTGTATCTTTCTGTCCCACTTTTCTTCCTCTCCTCCATTTCTCAGGACTCATGTGATTAGATTGGTCCACTGAGACTATCCAGGATAATCTGCCTGTCTCAAAGTCTTTAACCTTAGTCACATCTGCAAAGCCCCTTTTGCCCGGCAAACTAACTATTCAGAGAATCCAGGACTCACCAGTAATCTGCCTGCCACAGCAATCTTCTGGGATGGGCCATCACAGGACCACCTTCTTAGGTGGAGCAGTGGGAAAAAAATCTTATTTAGCTCCTCTACTCACCATGGGGCCATGGTCAAGGTCATCCTCTCTTGGAACCTGGGCAACTTCATTTGTGTCATGAGGGCATCGACTAGGTTATCTTTAAGATCCCTTTTGGCTCCAAAAGTTAAGATATATTGAGATGATCGAGGGTAAATTGGCCTTTTGAAAACACAGAAGTCCTTCTGGCTGACTCAGTGAGGACTGGTAATTACTGGATTAATTGAAAATGATCATGCGGAGAATCATAAAAGAAAAAAGTAAAACCAGGCCATAAACACTGAAGCTTAAATCTCTGAGTGCCTATTCACTCACCAATCTTTAGTGTTGGCCTTATCTTAGCTGAATCACAGGCTGGAGCACTGCTTAAACTTTTTTGTGTAAATCACGCCGTGCTACATTCCGTTGCTAGTTCCTGTATCTTTAAAGTGAAGCAAGAACATCAAGACATGGGCAAAGCAATTTCTCCCAGGTTTCTCTTCTGGATTCTTAAGATTTTCCCAAACTTTCTTAGTTATAGTGCTCATTCCTACTCCTTTAGAAAAGTACCATTTTAATAATTTGCCTTTATCAAGTCTTTCAAATCACTCAATTTAGTTTTGATTATTACCTTGAGCTAGGCGACCAACTCGTATTTGTCTGGGATGGTTGGCCATCCTGCCTTGAGCCTTATGCACACTTAATTTATAAATTAGTACTGGTGCTACATCCCTATTTCCTTATACCCTTCAACTGAATTTTCAGAAATCAGTAGTCCTACTTACCACCATAGAGCGTTCTGCAACTGTTAAGCACTTGTAAACAGCTTTTTAAAGATAGAACTGAATTTTTATGTTTTCCAGAAAATCTCTAGCCATGATGGACTATGTCTCTTCTTCCAGAGTGAAGGGAGGGGAACAGAGGTCCTTCAGAGTTGGCCTGGTTACTAGACCTTCTCTGCCTTCCCCATTCCCTCCTTGCTGTTTGTGCAGACTTCTGTTCTTGTGTAGAGGCTTCGGTGCATCTGCTGGGATGAGAACAGGGGCCCCAGAGATGCACTAGAAAGCACTAGAAAGTTTGCCACTGCTATTGTTACTGAAGCTGGGACAGGGACATCATGGAATGGCTTAGGGCAAGGGTTGGCAAACTGCAGCCCACAGGCCAAATCTGGCCAACCAATTGTTTTTATAACTAATTTTATTGGAACACAGCCATGCCCATTTGTTTATGTATTATCTAATGGCTGCTTTTGGCTACAATGGAAGAGTTACGTAGTTGAGACAGAGAAGGATTGGCAAAACCTAAAATGTTCACTATCCAGCCCTTTACCAAATGCAATTGCCTGATTCAGAGTGTGGATTTGACTGAACCAATCTGGCTCTGGGTTTGCATCCTAGTTTTGCCACTCGCTAGCTGTGTGACCTATGAAACTTCACTCATCCTCTCTGTGCCTCAGTTTCTTCATCAATAAGGTAGGTTGTTGTGAGGCTACAATGTGACAATGTGCATAAAATTCAGAGCTGCCACAGAGTAAGCATTCCTAAGCGGGTGCTACTATTACAGTTCATATTCATTTTGGTGGGGGCCTATTCCTAGCCAATTCTAATTGTTCAGAATAAAGTTAGTAGCTGATTTCAAAGTAAAAGTCTTTCCAGGAAGAGGCACAGATGAGCCCGAAATAAAAGGCCTCATTATTTAAAGAATAATTGGGAAATGGGCAAAAGACATCAACCGAGAGTTCACAGAAAGAGAAATGCAAACGGCCTCAAACATGAAAACGTGCTGAATGTACTCGTAATAAAAGACGTGCATATCAAACCCATATATCCCATGCTGAAATGGCAACATCCAAGTGTGCTAACACACTTTACTGGCAAAACTGAGGAAACAGACATTCTCACACAGTCTGGAGTATAAACACATATACTCCTATGATGTCTATGTCTATGATATCTAGCAAAATTACCCCCCAAAATTTAAAAAAATACAAATGCATATTCCACATGAGCCAGCAACTCTTACCCTAAGGTTCATCATATGTGTGCGTAATGATATATGAACAATGTTCTTCATTGAAGCAGCAAAGCATTTGGTTAAAGTAGAAAAAATTGGAAACAACTTACGTCTCTACAAAAGGGAGTTGATTGCATAAATTATGAATAAATTTCACTCAACAGAATTCTTTGCAGCCTTGAAATCAATGGGGCAGCTTTCTATATCCTAATACGGAAAGGTATTCATGAAATATGGTTAAATGAGAAGAGGGAGGTTCAGACCGATATCTTGGTATGTTACCATTTTGCAAAAGAGGGTAATATTAATGCATATTTGCTTGTTATGCATATGGAAAGATAAGCAAGAAACTTAGGACAATGACTATAATTTTTTAAGCAAGTAAATAAATTAGCTTTTCAAAAAAGTAAATAAAATGTGGTGAAATGTTTTAATTGTGGGACAGAAAATATACTGAATAACTGCTCTCATGCTGGTGAGTTTTTTTACACACACACACACCCCTCATCAAATAGTTTTTAGCAACTAGGCAGCATGAATCTAGTTAGAACTTTCTAGAACGATTTTGCTTTTTAAAATTAGGAAAATATGCATAGACCTATGCAAATAAACAAAAGGTCCAGCACACACTTCATAGTGCAGCTGGTAGAGCCGAGGACTGTAGACTGGACAAAAGGTCCATCTTCCAAGTTAGACAATGATTGTAGCCAGACACTGCTCTCCCTCCCCACCCACATCAAACCAGGACGTCCCACTCCTGTTTCTTTCCAAATTCATTCCGTCACTGAAACAGCAGTTACTAAGCACAGTCTGTGTACCGGGTCCAGGTTGGGCTCCAGTAAGGAACAAAACACAACCCCTGCCCTTATACTTGAACGGCCAGGCTAATGGGAAAGACAGATGTGAACAATAAACAGAGGCAAGAGAAACATAAGGTGCAAAAGCTTAGTGTGCACAGAAAACGCACTGAACCAGCCTCAAGGCTAGTCCTGAACTCTAGATTTAAGGGATAAGATGCTGCCACTTGTTTTGTGCTGAACCTGCATCTAACTAGGGACAAGTCTGTCCCTGTCACTATAGAGAGTGCTGCCAACCTCTGTGAGGTGGACATTCACACTTGGCCTCCACAAGGGGAACACCCCAGAATTTCTCTGGGTTACACCCATTGCCTCACTCTTCTGCGGCATGAAGTGGTCCTCCCACAGCTGCCAGAGGGCACGTGACCAGGCCGAAGCCAATCAGGACATCTCATTGTTCTGGGCCCAGTGATTGGTTCAACAATGATCAAGTGACCTACGCTAGACCAATCAGAGAGAAGCTTGGGATTTTGATGGAAATCACCGGGAAAGAGGCATATTCCTGGAATTTGCAAGGAAAAGATTGGAGCTTCTGAGATGGTTGTGTGTCACCATGAGGGCTGAGCCTGGAGCTGTCAGAGGTCACCAAGAGGTGCCCAAGGATGAAGCCAACTGCACAGCAGGCAGAGCCGGGAGACAAAGATGACCTGGGTGGCACTCAGACTTTGCATCTGGCTGCCCATGAAGCCTTCTCTTTGCTTCAGCCAGTTTGAGTTGTGTCCTACGAGCCCCAACCCACTCACTCTTTGAGAAAAGCTCAGGATGCCCGGGCTCGGCCCGCAGCAGAGCCATCAGGACTATATCCTTCCCATCCTGAATTCCCATGGGAGACAAGGGTCTTCTGTGTGTCCCACTTGATTTAAATGCTCATTATTCTGTGTGTCCATCATTGGATGTCATTCCTCTTTCATCTAAAATTTAGGAAACCCACAATACCCTTGGTTGGGTTTTTTTCTAGTAGCTTTATTAAAATTTAATTCACATAACATACAATTTACCCATTTAACATGTTCTGGGAGTAGGTGGGGGTGTCCTTGTTCTGGGGAAAGTGCAGTGCTGATGGTGATTCTCCTAGTCCCAGAGCTTCCCCATGTGCCAGCTCCCACAAGCCCACGAGCCCCCCAGGCCCCTTTGGCACTGCAGGGACATTTCCCTCAAACAGGTCCTGCACAGGGAGCTCCCTGCTCAGTTCTCTGCCCTTTGAGCAATCTGGGCATCCAGAGAAGGTTCCAGTGTGGCCCCAGCCCACCCCTTTCACATG